ATAAAACACTGTGTAGGGGCTGGGGAGATAGCTCAGGAGAATAAGTACTTGCCTGGCAAGTGCAAGGGCCTGAGTTCAATCCCCGGTTCTGCCAAAACCAAAAACAAAACAAAGCAAAAAAAAAAAAAAAAAAAACCAAACCACTGTCTAGTTCTACTGGTTTCCTCAGGCATACCACAAAGTAAATATGGGGCACTGTGGTGGCAGCCTTCTGTGATGTATGTGCCTCTCCAACCATGCAGCAGTGCCCTCAGAAGGGGCCACTGGCTACTGACTTCACATCACAGATGGGCTTGGAGAGGAGCCGCAACTTCTGAAGATCACACATTCTCTCACACGTGGCACGAACAGGCCACATTGAACAATGCGGCCTGAGTGCTGACAGCCCTGGAGGAAGGGCTCTCTCCCAAGACCCCAGGGGGCGGCCATGGCTGTCTGTAAGCAGCCAGCGGAGCCCCAGTCTTTACCTTGACCCGACTCTGGATGAGGAAATGGAAAGTCTCGTTCCATACAGGATGACTGGAGTTGGAGACTGTTTTGGTCCTGAACTTTCTTCCAGGAGCAGTTGGCAGCTGCAGGATCACATACGGGTCTGCCTCACTCACTGCCAAAGTCAAAGGCCTGTCAGGAGCAAGCGAACCACCAGCCTCACCGGAATCCTACCATGAACAGTCCAGCTCAGCCCTAAGACCCTTCCAGGGCCTCTCCCCTGGAATCCCATCCTTTTGCACCCTCTGGACCCAGGGACAGCTACTCACATAAATCAGCCTGACGCAGCCTCCGTGCCTCCAGGACCCTCACAGTGAGCCGCCAGCAGACAGAGGCCTCCCCCTGGAGAAAGGCACACTGCTGAGTCCTGTCACCCACATCCGGAGCTGCTGTGCAGCCCATGCCCAAGGGTGTGAGTGCACTCTACCATCTCCAGGCTGCCAGGCCTGCTGGGACATCCTCTGGGAACCAAATATTCTTTGTCTACCAGTGTCCTTGGAGTCATGGTTCAGGTTGCGGCAGCCAGGGAACGGCAGAGCAGCTGGGGCAGAGTTTGTGATATGCTCTTCCTTTCAGGTGAGACAGAGCGAAGGGACAATGCTCCACAAAAGGTATGTTCCTTTCTCTTCTGCAGCTGTCCCAAACACCTTATAGACGCCTCTGCTCCTTTGGGCACCCCACGACGCTCCAGGAGATGTCAGCTATGGCTGCTGCAAGCTTCACATGAAGACCCGTCCTAGATGACTCTGCCCTGTGGCCTCTCTGGACCACTCCATTCCTCTGCTCCCGCCTCGGTTAGGCCCGGGAGGCAGGAGCCCCTCCCCTCCCCGTGGGCAACTAGTCTGCCAATGTGTGTGTAAGCCTGCCCTTTTTTCCTGCATAAGCAACCTTGTCATACTCTTTTTTAAAAAAAATTTTTTCAATACCAAGGATAGAACTCAGGACCTTGTGCTTGCCGGGCAGGCACTTATGCTGCTGAGCTACATCACCAGTCCTTCCATACCCTCTTTAAAAAAAAAATGCATTTTTATTTGATAGATTTATTTGATAGACCCATGGGAAATTCTATACAATGAACTCCTCTTTTCAAAATACTGTAATGGTAGGCATAATCTCTATAAAAATTATGTATTTTAGGTGGTAGGAAAAAACACAAATTTCAAGTGGGAAGAGTTTTTCTTGCTTCAGTGATTTTCCTAGACTATTTTTCTGCATGGCATTTCTTCTTTTATTTATTTATTTTTCATAATTTTATTGATAAACAAATAGCAATGAGACAGTTTCAAATCAAATCGCTAGGACAGTTTCAATAATTAACACACTGCATACACTCTTCTTAGTGGTTAATTACTGTACAAGATGCAAACTTGAGATCCTATTTACAAACACCATTAGAACATATCATTATATTCATTAAGAGAATGTAACTATATATCCATCCTAACCACTTTGAATACACAGATACAAAATGGACATTCATCTGTATCCCCTTTTTTTGTTAAGTTCCGTTATTTGAATATTATAGGTGTGTGCATGGCATTTCTTCTACCCTTAAAGCATTAGTCCATGCAGCATGAGTCCAAATAAAGTCTCTCTTTATTCGTCATTTTTGTCATTTTTGTTTTTGCCTGGTCGTGACTTTCCTCTTGATCACAGCATGCTGAGCTGCTACACTAGGAGCTGATGACACTGAAGGCTATTGGTGCCAAAGTAGGCAGCAACTAGGGCTGGCAACATAAGGTGGTGAACAGCAGAGAAAGGCAATGAAGGGGCCGGGGAGGTAGCTCAGTAGAATAAGCTCTTGCTTGGCAAGCACAAGGGCCTGAGTTCAATCCCTGGTTCCACAAAAAAAAAAAAAAAAAAAAAAAGGCAATGAAGAATGCTGGGAGCCACCATCTGGAGTGGCCAGAAGAGTTCCTGAGGCCCACCAGGTGTGCTTGCTCCAAGTGGCAAGAAGAACTACTTGCTGTGCAAACTAATCGCTGCTGGTATTCAAAGCTCAAGACTGTCAACCCTACGAGAGGGGCTCTTGGTCAATTTGTGATTTCTATGCAAATTAAACAAGAACCCTCAGCCACTTAATAACATCTTGGAAGCCCATAAGGGGACTTCCCCAAAGAAGAGGACAGTCAATAGTGAGGACTGTCAGCAGTGGAGAAGTAGCTCAAGAACTAGCCCATATCTGATTCCCATCTTACTAAACATCCACAGCAGCCCATGATCCAGGGACAGGATTACTTCAATCCTTGTAGAGGACGAAGCAAGGAATGGAGGGCCCAGAAGTGACCATCTCACTACTCAGGTTAAGGCTGGCCAACATCCAGAGCTCCTGGGGAGAAGCCCTTTGGTGAAATAGACCCTCTTCCTCCTAGCAAAGCACCCTCAGCCCCCTGGAGAAGAAATGAGCTCGTGTCTCAAGGGAAACCAAGCCCTGGGGAACCCAGTGATCTGTGATATCCACAGGTACTGAAGTGGAGCTTGTCCCACATGCACTTTCTTGGGCATGAATCAGGCAAGTCCAGGAGCACCGGGCTGGCCTAGTATCAGTGGATGTTGTGGGTGACAGGCCATTGGCTATTGAGATGCTCATGAAGTCACTTGGAGACTGAGGCAGGCCTGAGTAAAGAGGAAGAAGAAAATGAGTGGCCAGAGCTCAGGGGGCAGAGAAAATGAGCCATGAGTGGGGGGATGACAGGAGGAAAAGTAGAGGAAAGCGGGGCTTGCCCAGGTCTTGTTGGGGACAGTGCATGAGGGGTTATGCTCAAACCCCAGACTCTGTAGCCAGGCTGTCTGGATTGAAGCCCTGGTCTTGCTTCCTGCTTTCCAGGTGACCTTGAACAAGTTACTAACTTCCGCATGTTCTCACTTGTCATGGGATAACAATAGAACTGGCCTCACAAAATGTTCTCAGGTTCAATTTTAACGCCTGTAGAAGGCTTAGGAGGATGCTTAGCCAAATGGTAAGCAGTGTCCAGGTAACTGCCCTCATATTCACGAAGTGCTCAGTGTGTTTCTAGCTGCTGTTCTGAGCGTACCCCATATGTTCACTTTTGTATCCGCCCACAACCTCATAAAATACTACTTGCATTTCTCACTGAGTAGGTAGCAAAATTAGGGTTCAAACTCAAAGGGCAGGGCTCATCAGTCCTGTGCTATTTATCTCCCTGGGGTTTTCCTTCTTTGTAAAAGCACATATTTCTCCCATTACCCTCTGGTAAATTAGATGCTAGAATCTTTTGGACTCATTTTTGACCAATATGACAGCAAACTAACATATTAACCAACACAATTCCTTTCTGAGGCTCTGAAGATTTTCCCCTGTCAAAAGACTCTCTAGAATACTGAGGGTTTCTAGAGGGGTGCTCCAGCCTTGCTGCCTGCAGATTCTGGGATTGCCCCGAATGTCCTTCTCCTCTTGTGCGGGGGCCCAGGGCCCATGTTTGCCAGGGAAGTTTTGTGAACATCTTAGTGCAGTTCCCTGGCCATGGAAGAACTGATCCCCCAGATTTGGGACCAGAGTATCTGTGATATGATCTTGGGCTTTTGGCGGGGGGGAAAGAAGGAGCAGCCCCATCCTGTCCCTTGCTGGCCATTCACTAATATGGTGGCTCTATGTGTGAGGCTGCGGAGGGGAGGCCAGAGCCTATGCACAGAGTCTCGAGCCCTGTACTTTCCTGTTAGGCTGAGCTGGTACCCGTGGACTGCACAGAGGTACATCCCAGAACTGGTCCTAGATGACCAGCCTGCCCTGTGTGCCAAGCTCCTGCCACTATGTGAGCTCCAGGCACCTGTTCCAACAGAAGAGAGGCCAGACTTGAAGACTGCAGCCTGAGGAACTGGTCTTAGGAACCCAGTCCTAGGAACACCAGCCAGAAGCAAGGTGCTTTCAAGGCGTGAGGCTCTCGTACTCCCAAATCATACGTCCCAAATCCCAAATCAGACTTTTGTTTCACCACTCAGGCTAGACCCAGAGCAGACAGTGGGAGGAAGGTGCACAGGCTTCGCCAGGGAGATGAAGAGAGGTATTCTAGAAATCCCCAAAGCTGGCCATTCTGGGATGAGGACTTCTGATGAGAGAGGTGGTGATGGAGCCAGGGCTGACTGGCCCCACACCTTCCCAGCACCCCACCAAGATGTTTCCTTTCACGGGTGATTTAGAGATGGGTCCTCCCAACTTCAGGTTGGGGCAATAGCCAGTCTTTTTTTTTTTTGGTGGAACTGGGGATTAAACTCAGGCCCTTGTGCTTGCCAGGAAAGCACTTAATGTACTGAGCCATCTCCCCAGCCCAATACCCAGTCTTTTTGAATGGGCGGTGCCCTGGTTCCTTGGCGTATGGTCTGCTCTGGTCACATATTTTCTAGGAGCTCCAGTCTGAGTTGTTTGTCTGAATGCTGTTCGGGCCTGGATCTTATGTCCAAAGCAAGAAAAATCCTCTCAAGGGCTGTGAGTGAAGCAGAGGACCTTGGATAGTGACCATGGTATACCTGACCTGCTCGTGGCCACTATCTGGAGCATCAGGGGACCTCTAAGGGGCCAGTCATGCTGGCCTAGGCCTCTGGCAGATGATGAGGCATCTGGGCTGAGAGAAAGAGTGCAGCAGGTGGGTGAGCAGTCTGTAGGTCTCCCTTGCAGCCTCTTAATCCCTGGCCCCCATAAATAATTAGCAGTGGAGGGGACTTGGGCTTCCTGGGCACATAGGGTGATCCTGGGGCTCAGGCCAGATCCAGGAAGTCTACTGCCTGTGGCGGTAGGCTCTGTGCCTGGTGGGTCTCCACTGAGAGATATACCTTTGGGGAGAGGAAAGGGTCTCTAGGGGCTAGTGCCTGGCCTCTTATGGCGAAGAAGGCAAACTCTGCCAGTCAGGCTCTGAACTGCAGGCCCCTGCTTCGACGGGTATTATTCATTGCCCCCCACCCCCACCCCCAAGCACAGACCCACCCCATGCAGAGAGGAGAACCACGATGATTTCATCTGTGTGAAGCCTCTCGGAATCATTCTGTCCCCTGGGCTCAGGAGATGCTATTACCTTGTGTGGATGGCTGGGTGGTCCCTCGGGTGATAGGCTTTCTAAGCCCATCCTCGTCAAGATGCCAGCGTCCTAGCCAGGTGACAGTGAATGTCCTGACCAACTGAATCTGCCAGCTTCAGAGGCACCACGATCCTATAAACAACTTGGAACCCCACCCCTAGGTCACTTTTCCTCTTCCTCAAGAAGCTGGGTCAACCAGCATCTCCAGAAACCTCTGCCAAGGTCCCTGGGGCGAGCACACTTCCAGGATTGTACTGTCAGGACAGATGCAGGCCTAGTGGGAAGATAGGTTCCAGGAGCAGTAGCAGGAACCTGGTTCCCCCAGAGCTGAGGACAGAGAATGGGGGAGAGCTGAGAGCCCTGTAGCGCAGCCCCACCTGTACCAGGTCCACCTCTAAGAGAGGAGCATCTGGTCCAGCAGGAGGCCTGGCCCCTTAGCAGCTCCTCAAAGCCAGGAATCAAGATGACAGTAGCGAGAACAGTGTGGCCTGCTCACTGGCTGCAAAGGAGTCTTGAAACCTCCGATCACAGGCTCTTTAACCTCCACCCCACCCCACAACAGCTGGTTCAGCAGGTCTAGGAATCTGAGAGATTTCTACTAGAATTGAATGGCAGACTTGGTAATAAAGCAAGACAAAAGAGACCAATCCAAAACCCCTCAGATGATGAACATTAGAGAAGAAAACTGTGTGAAGCTACCGAATTCTTTATTCAGTGTGCACATAGTCCTAAATGCTATCCCATAATTACATACACATCCTGTGATGACTCAGAACTGAGCAATGATATTTGTTTTCTGAAGCAAATGAGACTAAATTAATATCAAATTATTATAAATGATTCTGAAATGTGTTATTACAGAATCAGCCAAAGCAGAACATTGCGACTGGTATACGAACTAGTGAAAACTGAATGAATGGGAAATACTTCTAATTTGCACACACTAGAAGAAGTAAGTGTAAAATATAAAAAACTACAATGAATAATGTCCTCTAGAGCTAGTCCTAGGTGACACAATGTGGCAAGTCTTCAAAAGTCATCCTAGCCAGATGTGTCCCACCAGTTCTCTGGAGGGTGAGGCAGGAGATCACCTCGAGTTTGGGGGCAGCCTTGGCTACATAACAAGTTCAAGGCCAGGCTGAACTACATAGAGAGACTCTGCCTCAAAAAGAAAGAGGAGAGGAGAGGAGAGGAGAGGAGAGGAGAGGAGAGGAGAGGAGAAGAGAAGAGAAGAAAAGAAAAGAAAAGAAAAGAAAAGAAAAGAAAAGAAAAGAAAAAAAGAAAAGAGAAGAAAAGAAAAGAAAAGAAAAGAAAAAAGAAAAGAGCTACCCTGTTCTTCACACTTAACAGCTTGGACTCGCCCTGTTGGGAGTTCTCACAGAGACGACAGATGCTGTGGATAGGGAGTGGGCCCAGAAGGGCCAAGGTCAGGACAAGGAAACAGGCAGGTGGGGGAGGTCTGGAGGGGCTTTTCCAGGCCAGGGAGTTCCTTGCGGCGGCATGCCTGTAAGGTCCATCAGAGCGAACCTGACACACGCTGCCAAGCTGAAGATTTTCTCCTTTGCTGCCTTCCTTCTTTCATCTTCCTTTCTCAAAGTTTGCTCTATGTGCACAGTAAATGAACCTCTGGTTTTCCATTCAGCATTCACAGTTCCTTGAAGTTCCCTAAATTCCCCTTGGCAACCAGCCCCTCTCCATGCTGTGGCCCCATGGTTTAGGTGTTGTCGCCTCTACCTCCAACGTTGAGAATGCATCAGGTGTCTCCAGGCTGACTTAGCAGCTCCTGAGGTCACCTGATCATGGTGTGTGGTTCACTAGGATCACTAGCCACATGAGTGCAATTGGAGTAAATCCTAGTGTATGAAACTCTGGAGGAGATGGGTTGTCCTTCTGGTTGGACCAGAACCTGGGAGAAGATGAAGTTAGAGCTGCTGAATGTAACCAGTCACCACAAGAAGAAGAACTACCAGAAACTGACCAGAAACTGGAGCCAATGATAACAATGAACCTTCTGCCAGGCAGAGGTGGGGTCATTGTGGAGCTGAGGATGCTGTAGTGGGGCTGTTCTCCTGCACATCGCTCTTGGGGCTGGAGGGGAGCCCTTGCAGGAGGTTTTTATGGGCATGGCTTTAGTAAAATTTGAAAAAGTAAACCATTTTATCCACAGCTGATTAAGACTGCCATCTTCTCATTCTTTCATCTCTCTTAGCAGTGGATGTTTTTAGACAGGGTTAAGGAGAGCTGGGGAGATTGCTCAGCGGCATAAGCACCTGCCTGTCAAGTGCAAGGTTTTGAGTTTGATCCCCAGTACCAAGAAAAGAAAAAAATAGGTAAGGATAGGGGAGTGGATGTTTTTAGGATCTGGTTAAGGAAAAGTGGAGTTAGAGATACTTTTAATGTCAGCCGAGTGGGATATGTTTATATAAGCTGCAGTCAGTTTTCATGGGTAGTAAAGTCATTGCTAGACCTGAGGTTTAGGAATAGTTTTCAGAAATACTCCTACCACCCACTGCGCTGACTCACTGATATTGTCACATCAAAGGACAATTATATTGTGGTGCAGACATGACTTTTGATACCAGAATTGGGAAGTAAAGAGAAACAAATTCTGACATGTAGGGTCAGAAATCAGCCTGTGGAAAATCCATCCAATCAATCAGACACTTATATTGTGATTGGAAGGTTTAGTTTTCATTGACACATGATCAAAACAACATCTCTTTATAAAATAAAAAGAGTTAAAGGAAAGCCATTACCTAGCATGTGTGGATCTCTGGGTTTGATTTTCCTGCACCAGAAATAAAACAAAACAGATGTCAGAATCATCCTGAACAGAATGTTTTCAATCATATCTTGAATATATATTTTTTTCTTTATTTGATTTATCAGCTGGGCATAGTGATACATACCTGTAATCCAAGTACTCTGGGGCTGAGGCAGAAGGATCACAAATTCCAGTCAAACTCAGGCAATTTAACAATTCAGTGAGACCCTGTCTCAGATTTTTAAAAAATAAAAACTTACAAAAAGGACTAAGAATATAGCTCAGTGCAAAGACCTGGGGTTTAATCCCAGTAGCGCACACACAGAGAATTTATCATAGGTCTTGTGCTGGAAGTAGCAAGCATACCTACAAAGTCTATGCATGAGAAAAGCTGATTAGAGGTCATGGCAAATTTTCTTTTTCAAAAACAACTGCAGCTACATCAGCTTTCTATGGCTTTCTAGAATCTTCTAGAAGCACTTACCTATCAAGAGGTAGAGGGCAATTCTACTTTTGAATCCGTTGAGTTTGTGATGGATTCACAATTTACAGGATGTGAGGAAATGATACTGCTTGGCCTCTGAAGTCGTAAGGTGATACAGCTTCCCTGAGGCCTGTTAGGATCCAGCTTGAAGGTCACCATGCTGTGAGGCATGGAAACAGCCACCAGCCAGAGCTGGAGTCGGCAGTCTTAGCCATTCCAGACTTCAAGTGATGCCAGCCACAGCTGTGGCAACCCCTCACCTGTGCCTGTTTTGAATTTCTGACTCACAGAATCTGTGAACCTAATTGGGTGGTACTATATGAGGTCATTTAGGTCTTGGGTGGTCTTTTACATAGAGTAGGTAAATCAGAGGTTTTCCCAATTTACTAACAATTTTAAAATGTTACATTATATTACCAATGAAGAAGAAAGAAGCTATAAGTAACTTTTTTTATTTTTTGGTGGAACTGGGGATTGAACTCAGGCCCTTGCACTTGCCAGGCAAGCGCTTATTCTACTGAGTCATCTCCCTGGCCCCAGTAACTATTATTAATAATCAATAATTTTAAAAAATTATCAACCAAACTAAAGGAAAGATAACTATGTACTGCACTAAAGAAAGTGGTATGACAAAATTGGCATGGAAGAAAGGTAGACTTAGGACTACGCAGCCTACAAGTGAAGGACGAGGGGAACTGGAGAAGGGGAGCTGACTGTTGATTAGTACAAATACCATGGTGGGGTTTTTCCTTCTTAAGTTTTGTAATATTCTGGCATTCTTCAGCTTTTTAAAAAGTTGTAACTTAGGGGCAGGTGAGATGGCTCAGTAGAATAAGCATTTCCCTGGCAAGCGCAAGGGCCTGAGTTCAATCCCCGGTTCTAAAAAAAAAGTTGTAACTTACGTGATTTCATTGTTCTAAATAAGTATTTCCTTTCATGTCTGGTTTGGTATCAACTTGTGTAAACTTCAGGCTCCATAGAACATAGCCCTTGTGCCACACTGTTTAAAGTGCTTTTGTATGTAGAACACCTTAATTCACCTGCCAACCTGTGTGAAGCAGTTGCCTTTATTTACCTTCATTTTGCAAATGAGCAAACTGAGGCAGGAATTGGTTGAAGAATCACCCCCACATAACCCAAAAATTTGTCCCAAAGACAGAGTTCTTATCCACCACCTGCAATGAGATCTCCCTAGGGATAACAGGCCAGATGGACCACCAGAGTCTCCCTGGATCAAGCCTTGCCTGAAGAGGGAGATCTAGTCCTGAGCTCTTCAGTGGGGTGCCCACTCCTTCCCACTTACTCTAATTGCAGTAAAAACAGGCTCAGTGACTCCCCTAGAGCAGCACTCAATGATGGTGTCACAGAGGAAAAGAAGCAGCTGACATGGCTAGGAGAGGAGAGGCAGCTGCTGCCTGGCTGAGTCTCAGTTTCAGACACATTCCATGTTGCAAGATGGTGTGAGGCAGGGATGACACAATGTTCCTAGTCACTGTCCAAGCTTAGGGCATAGGCAGATCTGTGTGCTTGCCTCAGAGGAAGTAGTTACTCACTGTACTAACAATGAAAAAGGACCACTTCCTGTCCAGGAACAGCCATCCAGCCCCTCCCCCCGGTAGAGCTACTAGCAATTTCCATTGGAAAGGTTTCTTTCTGAGCAAGGGGCAAGAGACCATCTGGCCAAGCCAGATGACAGGATTTGTTGGGCATTTACCATGTACCAGACAGAGAGCCATGGAATAAAGATGGGAAGTTTCTGCCCGGCAGCATCCCACCCACCATCTATTCTTTATGTCTCAG